CAACATATTTAGGAGTGTAAAATTGTGTAATTAACTCACACCTATGCTTTCGAATCATGCTACCAAATACAATATGAGCTTGTCCAATGCTTGATTGCGTATGTGTGTGCATAGTCACATTTAATTGTTATCTAAATTCAGAAACAATTATCAAGACAGAAAAAATTTCAAATTAGCTCCAACCCGACCCTTTGTAGTCAAATATTTTCCTTTCCCTCTCGTGAAATTCACACCAAAATATAGCAATTTCATTCTCTTCCCCAAGTGTAAAACTAAAAGTTACTCTCTAATCACTCGTTGTTTTTTCCACTCTAGTTTGGTTGGGTCTAACAAGCAATATCAATCTCTATTCATGTGATGGTTTTCCACTAATGAGTGCTGCCATATTCAAGTTTATACTAAGCAATTCAAACCCACTATTTATCTAAGCCCAAATATCAATTACAATTTCATAACAAATAAATTTTTTTTTATTGCCAAATCCTATGTTTTACCTCACTCTCTTAAGCTTTCTTCTTGACCCTTGTAGCGAGCTTTAGATCGATAACTTCTCGGTTGTTTAGACCAAAGGGTACCGGGTTTTAAAATGCCCCTATGGACTTAATAACTTGAGTAAAAAAAGCGCTACGAAGTGAGGCCCAAGATTCAACAAGTACAATAATGCTCCCTTTATTTTTATTTTTTTTAAGTATTAACAAATATGGGGGCTTAGATCCCTAGCATATGGTCGTTACCCAGCTTATCCCTATAATATAAAAGAGGCACTTCACTTTGGCATTGTTCATCTTATTTCCTTTTTCCTTTCATTTTTTTTATTTCGTCCTCACAATTGATTCAAAAACGGCACCGTTTTATGCTCTGCCATTCACATCCCTTGTCTTCTCTAACATGCCATATTTATGTCAGACGTCATATCCTTTCGTCTTTCCCATTCCTCCATCTACTCTCATGCTATCACAAAAAAAATTGAGATGACGACACCGTCATTTGCTTCCTCCGCAGCGCAAAGGAAACTACGCGAAGTAGAATATCTGCTTCTAGAAACCATCCAGCCTCTTCCACTCTCATTTGCTTCTTTGTTTGACTGGAACTTCGGCCCTCTCTTTCTCTTGTTTCACAGTAAGTTCTCGGCCTATTTTTCGCTGATTTGTTCTTCTTGTAGCTCGACTAACCGAGAAATCTGATTTTTTTTACTGTACGGATGAACAGTAATTTTTTTTGATCCAGAAATCAATAACAAAACCAACAAAGAAAACGAAAATTGAGCCCAGAAACGGAATTTGAAGATTTTGATGAAACTTTTGGATCAAAGAATCAAGAAAACCTTCTGGACACAAAAACACAAGGAATTGAAAAAAAAATTAGAAAACAAAGGATATAACCTGATTAAATTGGAGCCAAAGCTCTGATACCAACTAATGCGAACCCCATAGCAATGAAAACTACGAAACCCACAATGAGATTGATGCGGAACCCAAGAACGCCAATACTAACTCGGTTTTGGATCTTGAACCCCAAGAATTGAACCAAGAAACCCTAGATTAGTGAAGAACCTAAAACCCCTTGATTACAATTAAAAGAACACACAATCCGATTGATTAGAACGCCACAAAAAGTTGAATCTTGATAAGTTCCAAGATTGTTCAAGAAGAACAATAAATTGAAAGAAGAAATTTCTCTCTCTATAATATTAATTCAAAAGTCAAAAGTTCAAAGGTGTTACAATGAAAAGTAATCTCCTATTTATACTAATGAATAAAAACGTCCAAAATCATCAAATTATGGTAATAATTTGATTTCATAAAAATTCTATCGAAACTAGGAAATTCGGCCAAAAATAGAAAATTCGCCAATTTTTTTTGGCTTGTGCGGCCGCATGGTGTAAATCCATGCGGTCGCATGGTTCATCAAGAAAGGCAATTTTTATTTTTGGTATGCACGTGTGCGGCCGCATGGTGCTGTTTTCTGCCTCCGCTTTCGTCGCTTGATAACAAATTGATCCAAGTCGATTCGGCCTTCGACCCGAACATGAAAGTTGCTCTATTTTGAGTCCTGAACATGGTTCCATCAATTGTTTCTTGAACAAGCAATCACATCGCTTGTTTCACTTGCTTTGCCCTTGATCACGTCATTGGTCCGCCATCAACTATCAACGGGTCTCGTCTCGCACTTGCCTTCGTCGGGTTCGACTCCTGGATCATATCAGGTAAGCTCATTTCTGATCTCATTTTTCTTCTCTTTCTTTGGGCATTCTTTTTTTGAGAATAAATTGGAGATTTCAAAGAGAGTAGGGATTTTGAAATGAAGACATTTTATGTTCGCAACTTTTCATTTGGGTGTTATGTTTGGGGTTGTCAAAGCTCCCTTCTTGTTCTTCTTTTTTAGATTTTAATCTAAGCCTTGCAATATTTTTGTGATATTAAAAAATATGAACAAGGAATCGAAAGAATTTGCTGGAGAAATATGTGACATTTATTTTTTGCTCTTGTGCGGGTTATTGAAACATTGTTTCTGTGACAAATATCACCTTTTCTACTTGGGACAAACCCTCTTCGGCTCTTCCAACTTCCAGACTTCAGCCGCAACGTTTGAGGACTGAGGTAAATTATTTAGTTTTTTGGTTTAATTTCAATAAGTAATTACAATGTGACTTTAGTTTTGTTTGGGTTGATTCTGTTTTGCTGCAATTAATGTTCCTTTACAATTAACAATGTGTATTTTATTCTTTAGAGCTTTGCTGAAAACCTGTGCCCATTTACTATTTCTTTAATTTGTTTAGTCTTCTTAAGTTCAAACCTACTCTTACATATATATTTTAATCAGCATTTCCACCATTTCGTCTTTGCTTCTCATAGTTCATGAGATTCTATCTTCCAATCTTCATCGTGTTTGTATCAAAGTATTTGTTTTATGAGAACTGCTTTGTAATTTGCTCAATTTTCGAATAGTAAGTTATTTGAAGTGATCATACTTGCTCTTTTAAATGCTTGACCTGTGTTGTCCACTTGTAAATGCTCGTCTCTGGTTGCTGCAGTGCTTCTGTGTTGTGCATTTCTTTGCGACGTCTCTCAGCCTTTCCTATCTCGTTTTATATTCCTTAACACTCGAATCAACATAATATGCGACTCTATTTGTAGACTCACATAAGCTTGTTGATTAATAATGTCTAAATGATGTGAATAAAATTTGTATTTTTGTGGGTTTTAACTTTAACAAAAGACATTTACATTCATTGATAGCATCACTAACAAAACAAAAAGTATTTGCTTGATGTGAACCCAAAAGTAAGAAAAATAATAGAGCGTAACAATCTGATTATATTTGGTGCAAGATTAGATTAAAGCACAGTTCGAGGAGCTTAGGTCCATGAGGAATTATTTTTGGTTCCAAGATCTTTTTAGGCATTTAGATCTATATATCTGTTGGCATTTATGGATTTACATATATTTTCTACAAGTAATATATGACTATGGATTCTTGCACATCTGATTGTATTCTACTAAAGTATTATGCATACTCTAATTCTAAGTACAGCCTTGCAATTTTTCTCAAAATTATGTTGCATTTGTGCCATTTTTACGACCGTATAATTTATTTTATGCTGTTCATTTACTTTAATTCAAATGGGTTGCCAGTTCGCAGAATAATCTTCTAAAAAATTTAAGTTAAAGGAGCATTGGTTTTCAATTTTATGTTTTCACCATTTGTCTAAATTTGGTGTAGTAGGAGTAATTGATTAAAAATTGATTTTTCTGCATTGGAAAAGAACGATTAGAGATTTTGGACTAGAATTTATGTATAGATGGATTAACTCTCTATTGTACATTTGTCTAACAACAATTCTTAGCCATGTTTGGACAATAATTCTTGTATAATCTATATGTTGTCTCTATAGTATAAATATTATGTCAAACAAAACTGATCTACCACACCGTTTTGTTCAAGCTATCAAACTTTCGTTGGACCATAATGTTCACTTGGTAAGTCTTCAAATGATCTCTTTGTCACCGTTTACTGATAATTAATGAAATTATATACCAAGTAAACCATATTTTCATGAGACTTATATCTTTTTCCTATAGTTGCTTCCTAGATCTTTTGTAGAATGCTCAGGACGTGACCTTGGTGATACAGTACGTTTAACTGGTTACGATGGAATTATTTGTAACATACAATTGGAGAGAGTTGATGATAATATATATATCTTGGTACGGATGGCCACAATTCTTTGATCACCATAACTTAGAAGATGGTTATGTTCTCGTCTTTGAATATAATGGAAATTCTACTTTCGATGTTTCGATATTCGAATGTTCAGGCGTGGAAGTAATGTATGAGTCTGATATGTTTGACATAGAGACTTCACGTACTGGTAATCCTATCTTCCGAGTAACATTAAAAGCTAATTGTGATGGTCATCGAAAAATTGTATGCTCCTTTGTAACTTAAATCTTTCCTGAACTACACAAAACATTTCCATACTTATCATTCTTGCTGAATTTTGGATTTAACTATTTATAGATTTGTCATTTTGCTTTGTAGTACGTACCTGGGACCTTCGCTCGATTGTTCTTATCAGCGTCTGTCCAGAATGTTCAGATCCATGATCGTTCACATCATAATTGGTCCATACGTACAAACTTAAGAACAAATGGTTATCTA